TTATTGTGAGTATAAGTATTTATTGCTTTCTAGGCCACCGGCCCATATTCAAACATATCAAAACAATGCTAAAAATGTAACAGGTACAAGTAAAATATAATACTATTCTCGGTTTTAGATCACACGGAATTAAATAATAATTAATTTGTTAACAATTGATTCCTAACTTCAAATGCTTTGAACACAAACACACAAATATTTCGTAGAATATCACCATTTGTTGCTTGAACAAGCCTTTGAAATTTATCCACGGTTGGTTAGAATGTATAATGTAGCGGATGACTCAAGGTGAGTACTCCAAGACCTTGGATGTACCAACTGCATTATATATTCAACATGTTTATACAAAAGCAGACAAATGTACATTTTTGAATCCTAGAATAAGAGACACGTAGACATTCTTTCTTTCACAACAGAGAAAATCATAACATGTTATATTTAAATAAAAACACATGTTTGTGAGGGCAATATCATGATTTGTTGCTAACAGGCCATTGGAATGAATTGAGAATTCTCTAACGCAAGTTATTTCACCACTCGCCAGATATAAATTAATGCAAATTTGTTATGCGCATATATAATTGTGCAGTAGTTTTAATGACGTCATCCACCCGATATATAATTGGCGGGCAATATACCATGTAATATCCATTTTTATTCAATGACATGTGACTGAGTGTCAACCAATGACGGCATACATAACAACAGTGTCACTTTGGAAACAGTCTGATGAAATAATCCCATGTGACATCATATTAGAGATTTGAGAGTGATAACCAAATTCCATATAATCCCCACAAGATTTAGTCCTAAGACTTAGTCTTATGTATTAACCAATCTACACATACAATCTAGAGGTATAGGGTAATGGAAATGATTATATTTATCTTCTTGTTCTCCTGTAAAATGCTAAAGGGATCTAAGAATTGATAAATGTCCCCTTAATTCACCCATTAATATTGAAATAATTAATTTTTTCATTTAGTAAATTTATATTTAACTTTAAGACCCTTAATAAAATCTTCTACAGAACTTCTATAGATTATAACAGAGTTTTATCCCCTATGTATAAGAAATATAGTTTCTGTGGAAATTGTACAGAAAAAATTCTGTAGAAAATCTTTTATGAAATTTCATTCCATTAAAGTTTGATAAAAATTTATACAGTTCTATAGAATTCAATGGAAAATCTATTTCTTAAAAGGAAAATTCATCATTATTTTGACAAAAAATGTGACAGAATCATAACACAATCAACTACCCATCAAATCAATTCACTCAATATGAACATTTGTTACTATTTACAGTACAGCGGGAAAACAAAAAGGAGCGAATCAAATAGATTTTGAATGTATACAAAAACATCCAAGGGTTATTTTAAATAAGTGTATTCTTCAGTATCCATTTGTAAATTACTTTATTTTAAGTGCATATACCATACATCCTCTATAGTTAAATTTGTTGTTATCTCTTAATTACCAATGCCATGCGCACAATCACTTGTACTCTGCTACCCACTATCACTTCTACTCAGCTACCCACTATCACTTCTACTCAGCTACCTACTATCACTTCTACTCAGCTACCCACTATGACTTCTACTCAGCTACCCACTATCACTTCTACTCTGCTACCCACTATCACTTCTACTCTGCTACCCACTATTGCTTCTACTCTGCTACCTACTATCACTTCTACTCTGCTACCCACTATCACTTCTACTCTGCTACCTACTATCACTTCTACTTTGCTACCCACTATCACTTCTACTTTGCTACCTATTATCACTTCTACTCAGCTACCCACTATCACTTCTACTTTGCTACCTACTATCACTTCTACTCAGCTACCTACTATCACTTCTACTCAGCTACCCACTATCACTTCTACTCAGCTACCCACTATCAATTCTACTCAGCTACCCACTATCACTTCTACTTTGCTACCTACTATCACTTCT